GTTTGTCTCCATTCGACAATCTGGGTTTTCTTTTGGTGGGGATGTTTGGGGCAGCCTGGGGGTGGTAGAAACTGCAGACATAAGAATTTACTCATCGTTCATATGAAGCTTACAGAGCCCTGGGTGTTGCTGTTTGTAATATCCTTACGCACTTCTTTCCAGCTACCATTCAGACCTCCATAAAGGCCCTGTGGCCTCTCTGAAAGGCTTTGGCCAGTCCTTCAAAGAGAAAAGTAATCAGATTTTTTTTTTTTTATTAGTGATCTTGTTCTATTGGTTTCTGTTGGGAGGCAAGATGCTTATCCCAAGAATTAGACAACAGTAAATACTGTTTGTCTCAAGAAAAAATCTATTTAAATCTTAAAATTCCCTTCCAAACTTTGTAACAATCAGATCACACCACAGTTGTGGTTTTGCACAACCACACCAGCAAAGTGAAATTAATGTTCCAAGAGGCACTCATTGTATTTGATCATATTCAAACAAGACAGTGAAAAATTTCTATAGCAAAAGTTGTTTTCCTTAAAGCATTTCCAAACAGAAAATTTTGTGTCAATCATCAAAGGAAAGCATTCCTTTTCTCATAGGCCACTGAAGATTACATAAATATCTTTGCCTCTGCTTCTAAGGGGTAGCCACTACTGAAACCCCTGGTAAAAGGTTTTATTTGTAGGAACTCTCAGAAGAGTTCCAGGTATTTTCAGAGTGAACTTGGTAGATATGCTTGCAAAAATATTTGTATATGTGGGGATGCTGTATTTTAAAAACCAGTTGCTTTGTCTAATCAATCAACTTCAGGTGAAATTTGGGGATCTTTCTGTGCTTTTCTGACATTTTAGTTTGGCCAATGGAGATTTTTCAAAACCCTCCCTTACTCAGCTCTCATGTTAAAGTATTAAGTACAAAGGAATGCCTTTCCCAACATTTAATAGCCCTTTCCAAATCAATTGTCGTGAAACATTTGTTTTATTTTTGCACCCAGTTTTGATATTTATACAGCAGGGCTGCAGGAGGAGTTTGTTTTACTGTCATTGAGGAATAATTAATTTTGTTTGAATAGTAAGTATGTGAGCAGCAGAGATCAAACATTTATATCACAGTTAAATGGTCTATGGACAAATCATTCATCATGGTCCTCATCAGATATTTATTAAATGGCTTCATGGAGACTCATAATAACTCTTATTTATTGATGAAAACTATTTAGTTACCTTGTCATACTAATATATCTTTATTCATCCGTATTATTTATTCTATACATTGCCACCAGAATTATGTAGTTTTTATTTATGGGGTGACTCCTAGCAGTTGAATGTCAAAGGGAACAAATACAATGCACTAATTTCAGTGGGTATTTTAGAGTTAAAAAAAAATACTAGCGAAATACTCTAGTTTGTGTTTAAAATAATGATAAATATTTCCAATGAATTAAAACACGAGAAAAAGAAAACTATTAAGTTATTAGAGTTATACATATTTTAAAGTTATGGATGTTTCTTAAAAGATGAAAAATAATAATGCTATTATGTAGATTCTTTACATCTTAAAGCCTAAAGAAAAAGTTATATTTATTTGGTAAAAAACATAATATTTATATTAAAGTAATTCTTTGTATTTTGTAGTTTAAAAAACTCTAAAAGGTTTTGTTTTCTACCTCCAAATTAAAATATATTAAATAGTCTAAATTATTTAACCCAAATTGAGCATTTTGGTTTTTATTTAACCATTTAAGATACTTTTTTAAAATGAATGTTTAGTGACTCAAGTTTATCTTAAATGCTTTAAAATATGCTAATACGTTTAGAAAAACAACTGTTCAACATAATAGTTCAAATGATGAGATTTATATCATTGCTACTTTGAAAAGTGAAAGATTCTTTAATTAAATCTGGTGGTTGGAAACCACCAGTTGAAGTAGAGAATTAGCACTAACAATACATGTCTGAAATTACATTAAAGTTTTAGTGTATAAATCAACACTGAACTATGTTCCTGAATATTTTTAAGCAAGTAGTCTTTTCTTTGACTTGGGATTTTGATAATATAGATCTTCAATTTCACAGAGGTTCTTAAAATTTTAAACTTTGCTCTCAAATAAGCAATATGTTTATCCTTTATCAGTATTTACATTTTATCATTTCTCTTAATATTTCCTGATTATCATATGATTGCTTACAGCTACTCATTGAACCTACCAGGTATTGATATTTTAATGAACTGTGATCATTTATGTCTACCTTACTATCTCCCTTTTGATAAGGTATATATCCACTTGTTTCTGAGTTTAAGGCTCTAATATTGCTTCAGATTAGAACTATCATGGGTCATTTCTGCAAGAGTGTAACTTTAAAATGTTATTTATGGAAAAATTACTTTGAAATTCAAATCACCTTTGACTAATAACATGCTCTAGAAATGATAGTTGATATTTAATCTTACACTGACAATGTAGACAACTATATTTACTCTCTCACCACTACCCAGGCATATCTTTACAATAGGAAGTTACCTTCACAGCATCCTTGGCTTTTGAAGCTGCTTCCATATTTAGAAATTTCATCGAATGATGTTCAAATCCTTAATCATGTCTGAATATTATATTCTTCTTATTTATTGTTTTGATTCATATCTGGTAGATCATACTAGTGTCCAAGGAGTGGCGTGTTAATTTTTCATGGGCAGAGCCTTGAATTAGTTTCTCAGTGAGATGCAATGAATGGGCCCATATCTAGCCAAAGATGGCTCTGATTGACATCTGGACTTATCAAGACTGGATCTGTGAGTTATGTGCTCAGTACAAGAGCAGTGTCTGAGATGAATGGTTCAGTAGTAAACAATCAAAACAAAACACATACAATTGAATAGGAAAGTAAAAGAGTTGTGGTACCTGAGGCAGACAGTGAAGTCTATGAGATTAGAGGAAGTGTGTTTGCACTGGCTGCCCTAACTCTGAACTTCCTTCCATTGTCATGACTTAGTCTTGACTGAGGTCACAAGTTTGTTGCCCTAGAACTTGTGCCTAAAAATTTTTCTTTTAGTATGTTAAGTGAATGAATTGATAGATGCCCAAGGACATTTATTTTTTGTCTGCTTTCCCATCAGTTTTATAACTAGATATGAAATATAGCATATTGACCTTTTACCTGTTTTAGAGTTACCACCTTTTAAAACTTTCCTACACACATTCAGTTTCCTCATGTCATTTAACAGTTAATTCAAATAGTCAGAAATAGAGTAATTTAATGGCATTTGTATTGATGAAACATAGTTCCTTAGGACCTATGAAATCCATCTTATTTTGTATTTCATCAAAGACCTTTGTCTTGATGAAGTACATAATAGTATTAAGATTATGAAAGACTTGCAAAATCAACATCAACTTTTTCTATACAAGCCATTTCCCCAAGTTTCATAATTTCTCTTCTTCCTAAAATCAATATATATCATCAATATCAACATGGATGAATTCTGTAGGCTATCAGCTCTCAATTGGCACTTTATGGGTCAATCGTGGAACATTTTTCGTCTTCATTTGAATTTCTTTTTAATTTTGGATATTTCTGAGTCATATTTCTATTCTCCAAAGCAGATATACAAAACTTTAAAACACTTTTTAAAGGAGCCGCAATACAGTTATTTAAAAGGAATTTACTAGAAATTTCTATACTACAACTTATTTCAATAATTAGGGTGGTCATTAAAGAAACATTTTCCCTTTTTTCACAAAACTTCATAGAATAACTCTAAGCATAGGCTATTGTTTAGTTTGCCTAAGGCTAAGTCATAGAATGCAATGAAATAAAGCATTCAAATACATAAGGTAGCAATGGTTTGTATGAGAGATATGTTTAAATGAAATTAAAGAGCTATTAAAACATTTACATTATTAAATATAGAAAACTTTCATAGACATTCCTAGTCATTGATGGCATTTCTAATTCTGGCCTGTCCTTTGTATAGTGGTGCATCCAATTCCAAAACGGATGAATCAATGAAATTTACTCAAATCTTAAACAGTCTTAGAGGCTGCTGACTTGAGTTTCATCCAGAGGCATCTTGAATGGCCATTTAGATTGTAAAGGTAGCTGGGAAGTTTACACTTTTATCAAACCCTAAACATTTTCATATATGTTTTGAGGCTATATATGAATTTTAATTGCTCTGGAATGTTTTGAGTTATATTTTGATTGAATAAACATTACACATAGAGATCAAATTGTGGTAAAAATTTAATTTTATACTTTTTTTACTTAGTGACAGGGTTTTACAATCTTCATGAAGTATAGTAAGCACTGAAGTTGGACTAGGAAAAAAAGCAGGAAATAGATCATCCTAGCAATAACTGATTTTTTTCTTCATTGTCAACAAGTTGATTAAAATATTTAATATGTCAGCTTAGAATTTATTTATTTATTTATTTATTTATTTAAGATGGACTTTCACTCTTGTTGCCCAGGCTAGACTGCAATGGTACAATCGGCTCACTGTAACCTCTGCTTCCCTGGTTCAAGCCACTTTCCTGCCTCAGCCTCCCGAGTAGCTGGGATTATAGGCACCTGCCACCATACCTGGCTATTTTTTTTTTTTTTTTTTTTTGTATTTTTAGTAGAGATGGGGTTTCACCATGTTGGCTAGGCTGGTCTTAAACTCCTGACCTCAGGTAATCTGCCTACCTCAGCCTCCCAGTGTGCTGGACTTAACAGGCGTAAGCCACCATGCCTGGCCAGAATATATTCATTATATTGGAGGAAAATTATGGTTAATTTCATTATCACTTTGTATGTACTTATAAGCAAGCTAATTTTAGAAATAACTGACAGTCATTTCAGAAACACTATTCAGCATATGTAAGTTATACATGTGGAAGTAAAATGCATTTAAGTAACTTTTCAATAAAAAACTAATTTAGGATTTTAATGAAAAGGAAATTGGAAGGAAGACAGTAATAATGTTAAGTTAAATTTCTTATTTTATATGTTTTTTGTTTGTTTTTTTACCAGTAGCCGACAGTACTATGAATCACACTAATGTTCCTATGGAAACAACTGAATGCGTACAAGGTCAAGGAGAAGGCTACAGGGGCACTGTCAATACCATTTGGAATGGAATTCCATGTCAGCGTTGGGATTCTCAGTATCCTCACAAACATGACATGACTCCTGAAAATTATAAATGCAAGTGAGTAAAAGAGGCAAATGTTATGCACTTCACTAGGCCTTAGGGGAAATGAGATAGAGTGGTTACTTTTTACTAATTTTGTGTCTGTGATCAAACTTTAGTGTGCCCAGTGATAATCAGAAATTAAAAGGCAGATTATTCCTCTGCTCAGAGATTTTGATTTTTTTGTTCTGATATTTGGTCCTCAAATATGCATTTCATTAAGCATTCTAGGTGGTTGGAATCCAGAGGGCAGATTCGCTATGCTTTGGGAAACACATCCATAGGTGGTTTCTGATCACAGCTTTGCTCTTATGAGTCTGTTTAATAAATCAGTTAATACTAATGGTAGCCAGGCATGTTTCAAAACACTGCCTTCTTAAATTTTTATATTAGCTTTGGGAGGATTACATGTTTTTCCTCTTGAAAGAATGGAAAGAAAAGTAACACTACTGAAGAGTTACTAGCCTTAAAGTTCTGTGAATAAAATAATTTTTCAAAGCTTAAATGAATGTGTTGCATTGTTTCTGGATTTGCTTTGAAAAGTGAAGGAGCAAAACAAAATGTAGATGACTCAAGCCAAAGAAACTGCCCTTAAGTATCAATTACATAGCTGTGCATTCTCTATGGGCACTTTTTACACCACTTGACTTTAGTAGACAGACACAGACACAATGCCATGTGTTTTTAAATTGTCCACCTTGTTATGAGGAACATAAAATGATTGCTTTTGAAATTTATAACACATACATCATTCATAGTGGCTTTCCTGAAATAGCACCTATAAATAACATATATTGGCTTTATGTAATTGGTTTTTAATAAGACAGCCTAACATTTCTGAATGAAGAGCTATGAGCACTAGTGGCCATCCACCATAGGAGAGGAGAGATTTGTGTGTGTCTGTGTGTGTGCATGCACAAGATTTAGCTAGTTCCATTATTTATTTATTTAGATAGTAAGCATTAATCTAAGATTTTTTTCCCATTCGTTTATAATAACTAATATTTTTTTCCTATTAGTTTATAGTAACAAAATTAGTGGTTATCATTCTGGGCTTATTTTCATTTCCATCAAAGCAATTCACTCTCTATTCCTGACCCATGTGTTTCACACCTGAGAAATACATCAAAGTAGAGAAAACAAAGAAACAGAGAAAATCTTAGTTATAAGGGACAAGGGAGATAGTGTCAGAGCCTTCATATTTTTGTTTACTTCTAGTGACTGGTAATACCCAATAAGAAATTGTATATGTTCAGATACCTAGTGAAAATCATCTGTAAGAAAAACAGAATGATTGTAAAAATTTAATTCACAGACTTCACAATTAAAACTTAATTATCAAAAGTTATCTGTTATATCTTAGCAGAATTTAAGTCATCCTTTCTTAATTTTGTTATTTGGCTTAAATAACCAAACATAAATATTAAGAAACAAAGTTTGTGCTGTGTTATAAAACTGATAAAATCTGACTCAACTCTTTTCTCAGGACATTGACTTACCATTTACTATTTGTGATCTAGTAGTGAGGGGCGTACTGGTCAGGTGTCTCTACTAAACATTAAACATTAAACATGCCCAGTACTGAGACCTTACAAATGGCAATCTTTGGATGTAACTGAACAATACTGTACTGCCTGTGATGAATCTACATGAATCATAAACTCATCAATTCACCTTAGTAATTGTAAATCATTCTTCCTTCAAGTGAAGGGTAAGAACTTAGTAAAAATATTTGAGTAAATCTTGACTTTAATTCTTGCTTCATCTAGATTATGGATTGAGGTGCTTCTAATACAGATTTTAAAGTCGGTCCAAACTAGGACTTTGATAGCCTTCGATCTTCACTTAATTGGCTTGTCTAAATGAGCAATCCAAATGATTAAACCGAGTGATTATTTATGTAAAATTGCAAATTTGGCCAGGCATAGTGGCTCATGCCTATAATCCCAGAACTTTGGGAGGATGAAATGCGAGGATGGTTTAAGGTCAGGAGTTCAACAAGACCAGCCTGGGCAACAAAGGGTGACTCCATCTCTACCAAATAATAGACAATAAAACCAAAGCATGTGTAAAGTTTATGTAAGATTTAACACACATGTTTTACACTGACATAATTTTAAAATATAAGTATAAATGGTTTTTTTCATCTATTCCATTTAATAATTTTATAAGAAGGCTAAAGGTTTGAATATGGGTTATAAACACTTACCATACAGTGGCTTTAACCACTGGTGGTTAATGTTCTCATATCCTTAAATAATAGTTTGTATCAGGACCTATTTTGATTAGGTAAGATTATTATTTGTTGGTTTTCTAACCAAACACAAGCTTTTTCCTTAAAAATTTCTCAGTTTCCAATGGTCTATTTGGATATTAATATAATTGTATAATAGTACTTCTAATTGGACCTAAGTGATACAAATACTGTGGTTTCCAAAAGACTGAATATTAATTTAGTTAAATTATTAACAAGGAAGCTATGAAATAATAGAACATACTTGCTTAAAATTAGAGAGCATATTTAACACATTTTTCATGAAATGCACATTTTATTTAATGTGAACCTTATTTATATTAAAATAGAAAACCATTAAAATTATTTTACATACAGATAATTTTAGCATAAATTTTTTTTCTGATTAGAAACTCTAAACTTCTAATTAAAATACTGGTAAAATGAAGGATATACATGTACTACATTCAGTTTGTTCTATAGTTCGTTTCTCTGTAGCATAACAAGGTCTTAACTTTACAGAAATATTTGTAAAGATTTTAGGTAGCCTCTTTAAACTGATAAAGACTTGCTTTGTAATTAAAATAAATTGATGCAACAAATTAAATAAATCAAAGAAATACAGAACTTAAGGGAAAAAAGCTATCATATTTTTTGTGGCACATATTTGAATAGATTGAACTTTCATTTGAAATGAGAGTAGTTAATGACTATTGATAATAACCTTTCTTTCACAAAGAGAGATACATGTTGTTTCTACACAATACATGGGCCATGAACATGTAATAAATAATGGCCAATGTTTTAAAATGGTACCAATTGAGAGTCTAAATCTTGAGACTGAGTGAGAAGAATGCAGTGATACCATTTCTCTCTTTTTTGAAGCAGTAATGTTTGTGTGAAACTCTAGGCCTCTAGAAGGAAAAAAATATTAGCATATGACAGCATTTATTTGGGTAGTGTCAGTTATGTATACTGAGTTTTAAATTGTTATAGCTATCCTAACTCCAAAAACTTAGAACTCTATTTATAAATATGCATACATTCTGGAATTCTAGAAATGTAATAACACTGACTTCACCAATGTAAGAACTCTGGCAATTTACATTAACATGCTTATTCTCAACAGAGACCTACGAGAAAATTACTGTCGAAATCCAGATGGGTCTGAATCACCCTGGTGTTTTACCACTGATCCAAACATCCGAATTGGCTACTGCTCCCAAATTCCAAACTGTGATATGTCAAATGGACAAGGTAATAGCTGACATTCTGCAGGGTGGGCATGATTAAATTCAGGGGAAATGTCTAAAGGGAGGACACATTTTACAGCATGAGAGCTACTTTGTGCTGCACTGGTTTTGCCGGCTAGCAAACAAAATTGCCAAGTTTGAAGTTGGATTTCTCTTACATATTCATTCACTCAACATTTATTTATTTAGCTGAGTGTATGCTACTGCCAGGCACAGTTCTAAGCCCCGGAGATATACCAGTAAACAAAACTAAGCTATCTGACCCCTTGGAGCTAATATCTAACTGATAGAAAAGCAAAATAAAAATGAAAATGGGAATGTTACAGTAGTTTTTCATAAGTAGTAGAGATCAAAATGTCCTAGAGTTAGAAAAGAGGGGTGCTTCTATTTTATATTTGAATGTTCAGGGAAGATCTTACTTGCTACATTAACATGTAAGAAGGACCCAAGGGCAGTGAGGCAGCAGCATGTGCCAAGCCATGCACATATATGTGTAAGAGTATTCTAGACAGAGAAAACTGCAAATGCACATGGTGTGAGATGAGAGAGTTCTGGGAAAGTTAAACAAATAAGCACATCACCATAGCTAGTATAAAATAAGTAAGATGAAGAGTAATAGGAGATGAGATTAGAGAGGCAATTGGGCTAAAGTTGAATCAGCCTTTCAGGAATTGTAAAGGTTTTCACTTTTGCTCTGAAAGACAAGGGACTCCACAATGTGACTTACATTTTAACTGGATCACTCTGGCTTCGTTCCAGAAAATAGCTAGATTCTTGACAACAGTTAAAACAGGAGAACCAACAAAGTGGTTGTTTCAATAATTCAGACTAGAGATGGGAGTGACATGTCCCTGGGTGTTAGCAGTAGAGCTGCTGGATAATGGTAGGGTTTGAGAGAAATCACCATTATATTTGGAAACACAGATACCATTGAAGATAACTGTCTTAAAGAACAGTAGTCAAGTCAGATTGAAATAGATTTTTAAGTCAAAAAATAATAGATTTTGGTTAGGTTGCTGAGAAAAGGGAATGCTTATACCCTGATGGTGGGGATGTAAATTAATTCAGCCACCTTGGAAAGCAACATGGAGATTTCTCAAAGAACTTAAAACACAACTACCATGCAATGCAGCAATCCCATTACTGAGTGTATACCAGAAGGAATATACATTGTTCTACCATAAAGACACAGGGATGCATGTGTTTATTGTAGCACTATTTATAATAGCAAAGACATGGAATCAACCTACATGCCCATCAATGGTAGACTGGTTAAAGGAAATTAGGTACATATACATCATGGAATACCACACAGATGTAAATAAGAATATCATGTCCTTTGCAGCAACATGGAGGTTATTATCCTAAGTGAACTAATGCAGGAACAGAACTAATACTGCATGTTCTTACTAATAAGTGGGAGCTAAATATTAAATATATACAGATACAAAGAAGGGAACAACAGACACTGGGGCCTACTTGAAGGTGAAGGGTGGGAGAAGGAAGAGAATCAAATAACTACCTATTAAATACTAAACTTATTACCTGAGTGACAAAATAATCTATGCACCAAACCCCGGTGACACACAATTTACATATAACAAACCTGCCTATGTACCCTTGAACCTAAAATAAATTTTTTTTAAAAGTAGATTTTTCAAAGAAATAATTGGTTAAATATTAATAATAATGTCGAGTCCTGGGAATAGCTGATATATAGTACATTGAGAGAGATCCTTTTCAGATGATCATATTCTATTTCACATATGCTTAATTGTGATGGTCATGGTCATGGTTAGTCCTAAATCAACCTAGAAATCCCAAGCCAAACTAAAGCTCCATCTCATAGACTGACTGTCCTGTGCATACTTCTTCCATCCTTTAACTTTTTCCACAGTGTCATTGTTTGTGAGCAAGTCTGAAAATAGAGTTGTAGAGGGAAGAGAGGATGAGTCCCTTTTTAGTCAGTTTCATTGTTCTTTTAAGGGTCAGTTGGAAATAAAGTTGAAGCCAGTGATTAAGGGAAGTTTGGCACCAGCAGAGTCTTCTGTGTTTCTGGCTCATTTACTTGAACACTTGTTAATAATTTGTGAGGGAGAGAAGAAAAATAATTATTTGATAAACTTCCAGTGTGTATTAAGGTATTTTTATATACATATACATCACATAAAAAGGATCAGGTAATAGAATATGAAAATTTTGGATTCTGGAGGGTAAACAGATGTTATTGCTTATCAGATAAATCAATTTATTCATAGATGAAAATATTCGTTTTATGGAATTTAAGTAACTTGCCTACATCTCAGATTGGCACATTGGGATTTAATCTGACCCTCCTGAGATTGACCTTTTCATTCTTTCTTCCTTTTTTCTTTTATTCATTCTTTAACAACACATTATATTACTATTCTTTAACAATATATTGCACCATTGCACCTGATATGTCCAACTGTATGCTAGACTCTAGGGGAGGGAACAATCTAAAAATGAAGAAGAGATAGACATTCTACTCAAGAAAATCACTGTTAGCCAAATCTACATAAATGGTTAATGTACTAGAAAAATTTAAGTTATTTGAATTGACCATGGTAGAGAAATGATGCTTAAATAGACCAATTTCTATAACTGAAATACAGAAATCTATTAAAGAATTATTCTAGCAAAAAGAAACCATGTCCAGATGTGCTCATATACCAGATAATCTCACTGCTATTTAAATTGCTTCAAATATTACCCAATACAGTAAAACTTTCAAATTATTTTTATGATGCAAGTATGATGTTGATACCTAACCATGACAAAAATTGCAAAGGAAGAAAGAAACTGTACAGCTATCTTGTTTGTGAATATTAATATAAAAATGTAAAAAATTTTGAATGGACAGTTCAATAAAAAGTTAAGAAAATAATACATTATAACCTAGTGGAGTTTAGTCTAACAATACAAAAATGATTCAGTATTAGAAGCCCATTACAATTCTTCATAGATGTTGGAAAAACAATTATATGGAAAATCTCAATTGATTCTGAAATTCCTGTGGCAAAACTCATACATTCCTCAAAAATGTATTCAAGTAAAAAAATGCATGGGTTTTATATATATACATATATGTATACACACATCCATACATCCATATATGTCCATCTATGCTTACACAGACTTCCTTAACATCTATGTTCACATTTTAAGGCATCCACATATAGGCACACACACATATACCCTCCACATATATACTTCTATAGCATATATATATTGAATATATATGTACATATATATATTGAATATATAGTACATATATATATTGAATATATATGAGTATACACATACATATATAAATGACCACTTATAAAATTACCACTTACTTAATGAGGAAATATTAGAGGCATTCTTATAAGATCAAAAAAAATAAGTATTTCCACTATCTCCCTTACTGTTTAATATTTTAAGTATGACTTAACATTGTTTTTCTCTTTAAAGTTTTATTGGATATATTATGCTATATAATTAGTTGAGAAGACAAAGTAATTGGAAAAGGCAAAGTAAATTATCTCTATTTATGTAAACTATATAATAGTAATACACATGGAAAATGGAATTGAAACAATGAAAAATTCATTAAGGTAGAAGGATATAAAATTAATATAAAAATGTCACTAGTATTTTTATGAGCTTGAAGATTTAAAGAGAAAACATCTATAATAGCAACAAAACTGATGAAAACTTCATCTAGATATTTAATGTGATATTAATAAATAGATCAATATGTATTTTTCTGATATTAAACAGATTGACTCTGAAGTTCTCCTAAAATATGTAAGTATAATAAGAAAAACCATGAAAATGAAGAGCAATTGGAGGGAACTATCCCTATCGGATATTAAAATATAAAGAGTTTATAATTAAAAGAGTGTTGTTGTAGCACTTGAATTTCTTAGCAATTGCAAAAAAACACAAAATCCAAAAATAGACTCGAGTGCATACTGAGATTTATTATATTAAAAATATGGCAATATATACCACTGAGTACAATATTAACTTTAAAAATACAATAATGGAGCAGCAGTTAACCATTTAGAATGATGATAAAATTAACTTCATGCCTTCTTTTTTATTTCTGTATTTCCCATTTTACTGATAAAACATGAGACCCACAAAAGTTAAAAAAATCTCTTTTTCCCCTTTTACATCTTCTATATCTATATTCCTTCCATATTCTAGTTCATCATACCCCATGGCTTAATATGGCTAATGACAACCAAATGTGTCTCTGTAGCTTCAATCTGTTCTCTCAGATTGAGTCTCATACGTAACATCGATAGTCATACTCAACATTTCTACTTGACAGCCCCAAAAGAACCTTGAATTGAACACATGCAAAAGGGAACTTCAGATGCCCATCTTTGTTATTCATCCAGTTTCACTCTTTTCCCAACCTTTTTAAAAGGTACTACTATTGTTCAGCAATTTACACAGAATCAAAGGAATTTCTTTAATTTTGCTCTTTTTCTTGTGTTCCACATCCAATCCATCTGAAAATATGTCCAGCTCTGCCTTCAGAATATGCCCCAAGTGTGATCATTTCTCTTTATCTCAATAGCTTTTTTTTAGAGCAAGCTGTAATCATCTCCCACCTTGACTACTGTGATAGAATATTACCTTTTCTCTCAGATTTTACATTTGCTTTCTATAGTCTACTCTCTCTCTGCACACCAAATAAACTGACCTTCTTTGAGTATGAATCAGAACACATCATCTAAAACAACCCATTGGTTTCAAATCAACTTAGAAATCAACATTGTGGCGTGACCTACTGACCCCTGCATACTTCTGCAGTTCTTATGCATAGATGATAGACCTATTTCTGATTCTGGGTATTTGCATGTGCCAGTTTCCTTGTGTGGATTGCTCTTCTCCAAAATTTTTAGTATGGCTTGTCCTTGTACTTCATAAAGGTATGTGCTTAAATATTATTCAGGAAGGGGGGACATGGATGAACCTGGAAAC